AGGGCACGCGCTTCCACACTGCTGGAATTCCTCGTTCAATCCGCACTTTGCTGTAATTTCAGTATTCATTTCCACCGACGAACCCAGGCGTAGGAAACTATGATTCTAGAACACTCGGATCTGTTTCATAGCTCGCCAGGGACAGTTGTGAGCCTTGTTCGATGATCGAAAATTTCGTGGTCCATGCATATGGGTTGGATCAAACACATTTATGAACTCCTGAGGAAAATTCGCAAACTAAAGTATGAGAAGCGCGAATGCATGATTTTCGATGGGGAGATGCTGTATTTACATCACGTCGGAATGAACCCACATACGTTTGCATTGCGTCTCAGGAATGCACACTTCGTCTTCTGGATCACGGATGTATCCATCCTTGCAGAAGCAACCCTGCACACAGTTTTTAGTGCAGATCTCAGGTTTGTCACGACCACAGATCCTTGGGCATGCTGTTCCACATACATTGAACTGTTCATTAGGACCGCATTCGGCTGAAAAAAAGCACAATGAAATGGCATGTTACCATGTAGACGTGGAAGGCTCACCCCAACAGCTCATCTTTAGAAGTATTGTCTTCTGAAGATCTGCCTTTAGAAAGTTTCCCCGGTGTAACTCCCGCCACCGACTCTTGTGATTAACATTGCATCAAAATGAACCTACGCACTTTTGCATTGCGTTTCAGGAATGCACACTCCGTTTTCTCGATCAAGAATATATCCATCTTTGCAAAAGCAACCCTTCACGCAGCTTGGAGGGCAGATTACAGGCTCTTCACGACCACAGAACCTTGGGCATTCTGTTCCGCATGCATTGAACTGTTCATTAGGTCCACATTGGGCTGAAAAATCCGACGTGAATCACACTCTTGCACTGCACACAGTTTGCTGGGCAAATTTGCAAATTTGATTGTGATTGTCAATGTTGCATTGCGTTTCGGGAGTGCACACTGTTTATTTCATGATCAAGCGATTTCTCCTCATGCCTTAACCAGACCTTAAGATACGCAATAATCGCAATATGCACAATTTTCTCGCCCCGGCTCCTCAATCCGCCTCTTATCAATCTACCACTTTCGTGAAACGCTTACTTTTAGACCCTCCGAATATCACTATTACCTACGAATCTCCTAATTATCAATCTCTTTTCTTCGTTTAGCTACAACAACACTTCAATCCCTCCGTTTTCATTTTTCTACTACAGTTACCTATCACCACTTCCACTTCCCTGGTTGATTTTCCTAGGTTATACAAACGCACTTTTAAACACACTACTATGCCGCACTTTGTCTGCTATGATTTCAAAAATTTTGCTCAACCACCCATTTCTCCCCATTTCACCACTCATGCTATCTATACTATCTCTTTCATACTTAATCTACCACTTCTTGCACACATTTCATATTCGGTCGGTATCCTGCATCACATCCACTACCCTTCAATCTCCACAGATAATTTCTCCACCTTTTTTCCATCGGCTGTTTGAACAGTATATTGTGACTATTTTGAGAACGAAACAGAGTAAGACGAAGTGAGGATCAAGCATGAATTCGCTTTCTTAGAGCATACATTCCATAAATCATTAATAATGCCAGCATCCAAAATTGCAATTCAACCTACGTTTGCATTCAGTCTCACGAACACATGCACCACCTTTTCGATCCAGTATGTAACCCTTCTTGCAAAAGCATCCTGGTATACACCATTTCGTACAAGGTATCGGTCCCTTCTGATCGCATGTCGCAGGACATGCCGTTCCGCATTCTGTGAACTCCTCATTCAGTCCACACTTCGCTGCAATTCTCATTGTCATTGTTGGATGATGAAATCATCACGACCCCGGAACCGTCGCCCGCTGTTTGGAAAGTATATTAAGGGTATTCAAAGAACTGAACAGAATGTGAAGGAGTGAAGATCGAGCACGACTTCGCTTTCTTCGAACAGACTCCGTAAATCATTAATAAGGCAAACATCCACCAATTTATGCAA